TTTTTAACAAGTAATTTAGATTTTAAAGATTCTTTATATTATTCTTGTCGTTATTTAAAAATTCCAGACCAAGTTCGTTGAATATCATTGACATGTATTTATTAGTTAGTTGGCTGTCATATAATTTTTTGACTTGGAAAATTATAAGTTAAAGTTCCCAGACTGGAACGAAAAATTATATAAAAAATTTTTTTCAAAAAAGTGTATATAAAAGAATTTTTTTGACTATAATTCCTTAATAAAACTATTTTTATCAATTACCTTAAACTTAGAATTTATTTTTATCCTGATTCAGCTATGGAGGAACTTCCTTATAAAAATAAAATGAAAGAAAAATATGTCTTTGATAAATTGTGCAGTATATTTAGTGATACATTTTAATAATTCTACGCAGGTATTACAAAGTTTTTGGAATTTATTAAGTGAGTTATTCAAATTAATAAAAATAAATTATTATTTTGTCAGTATCAGGTAATGGTGCGTCGAGTTATTGGAATGAAAAAAGATTATTACTAAGGATAATATAATTGTTAATCTCACTTATAATGTAAGTAGTTATATAATATTAATTTAAAATAGAATATAAAAGTAAATGTAATTTTGAATTAATAATTTTTTAATAGTTAGAGCAGACTTGTTTTCATGGAGTGCTGAGGATGAAAATTATTTTAACCGATAGGACATACTATGTTTTCCATGGTTTTATGCAGTTGACGAATATCATGATACTTCGAAAATTATATTTTAATTATTGGACAGCGATATGTATAATGACATCTAGAATGATTTCGGTTTGTAAAAATTCAAATTTATTAGGAAATTTTTAACAATTGTATGTAACACTATTGAGAATGGTCTGATGACAGACCGAAACGTTTGGTTATATTATAAATTATAATAAATATGGATTAATGTATGAGCCTGCACTAAACTCAGTTTGTGTACGTGGATGAAGCCGTTTAATTATTGTATTGTTTGTATTGATCCACGGTTGATAAGTATTCTTGTTTTTATAACGCTGGCGTCAATATGCGTTCGAATTTACAGTTTTTTGAATTTGTCAGACTACAATTTGGTGTTCACTCTGTGCTTTTATTGAAAGATTACATGAAATTATGAAGAACGGATATAAAAGTAAGACACAAAATTTATTTTTTAAAAACTTGTTTAAAAGAAAGATTAATTCCCATACATTTGAGAGGTTTTAATAATTATAGATTCACAATTAATTATAAAACAACTAACATTAAAATTGATAAATTAAAACAACAGTGTACATTTAAATGTATGCGTGTAGAATTGCAGGATGCGTATCGTTGTCTATTTAGTATAAAAAATGATATTAGCAAATTAGAAAGATTAAAAAGATTCAATTGGGCTCTCAAAATATAATCAAATAAAAAACGACTAAAAAGGGCAATTAAGAGCCTTAAACGCAGTACTTAGTGCG